GGAAAGACCAACAATATCAGCCTAAGGCACAGTCAAGTAAGATACTTAACTCTACTATTTCTACTCGTAATAACTATAATAATCTTATTGTGCAGGAACAAACCAATAGACAAGAAGAACAAGAAAACCATCTTCACAATTTGATACATCAATAAAGGAAATACATCAACAAACAAACAAAGGATGATTTGAATGAAGAACTAGACAAAGTTGAGGAAAATACAGTTGAGAGGTTCAAAAGAGAGAAAGAGAGAGAAAAGCCTCAAGGAACCAACAACACCACAACCCATGGCAAGTCAAAACCTTCAGAGGTTCCTCAATATGAATTCCAGATCAGTCATGCCAAAACTAGAGCTACATTGAACGATTCAAACATTAAGTTAGAAATCTTGCAAATTAACTGCATCAATAAGGCAACTACCACAAAGAAAACTTTCGAAAAAATTGAGAGGACTAATTAGGCAACTATCACAAATTTACAATCACATAGGATATAGTTATTTAGGATTTGCTAACTTATTGTTCTAAAAAAAGAACATTTGAAAAAATACGAAATACCTTTTGAAGAATCGGATCATGAGTTTACCCGGAAGAATGTGGAAGATTTTGACCTTTTACAGCTTGTGCACTACTCGCATCAATAGGTGAAGCAATGTTAGATCCAACACACCCTGTCATATCTCGAACATTCAATCCATGGTTGGTTTGAAGCAATTGACTAAAGAAATGTCACATTTCTTCTCTCATTTGATTCATTTCTTCTTTTAGAAAAGTAATTTCACTGGCATATTTCTGTTTTAGCTCGTTAGTTTCCTCATCTTTCTTCAAAGAACTTGTTGTCACTGATCTACCATAGCACCTTAGTCGACCAGGTTGCTCCTTTCCAAACACTGCCATAAAAGCATTATCTGTTGTTTCCCTGGAATTTTGGTGAATTTGAAGTACAACCTATTGAATAAAATTGACATCCATATTAAATGTAAGTACTTATTTCTTTCCAACTTAAATGAGTTTATGATTCATTAAGTTCACTTTAATTGACATTCTTTCCAAGCAAACTGTCCAGCGACTCAAGCATATTAAAATAAAATTATCACCCTCCCAACAATAAATAACTTTTAAACCTGAATTAAATTCGAAAAAACTTACTATTGCAACTTGAGCATTTGCCTAAATTTCCTTTCCCGTCTTTGTACGAGTTGCAATTAACATTTCATACTTTGATGGTTCCTCATTGTTTTCTTTTGTTGCACGCTAAAAATTATATCAAAAGAAATAAAAAAATATATGGACGAAGATGATACAGTGGACAGTGGTTAAAAAAAATAGTACAAAAAGATGAAATTTGATTTTTTACGAAATGTCTGCTAAGTATTACCAATGCCACACGTACTCTTGCAAAATTAATAGGTCCCATTCGATGCCTTCTCTTTTGCTTTTTCCTATTTTGAGAATTCATCTCACACAAGTCCTATAATTAAATAAAAAGAGATGTTTGAATTAATAAATAAAACAAAAAAAGAATAGATATGATGCAAAATAAGTTGAATAGTAGAAATGCACTATTTTGGCCTTACTTGAACAGTTGGGTGTTTCCAATACTCGATCAATTGACGGATTGACCTTCTGGCATGTCATCAGGACGTTTTGCTAGCATATCCTCAACGGTACTATTTTTATCAAAACATCTCTCTTTAATTTTTTGCTTGTGTCGCCTCCAAGCATCACGAAGACCAGTCATCACCCACTTCTTTCCTTCTACTGGAATTAGGAATTTTGACTATGCAAAATAAAATATATTTAGCTTCAGCCAGTAAAAATAAACAATAAAATATTCAATCTCAAAATTGATTGTTCTTACATTGATATATTCCCACATACGCTTTTTAGTATCTTTTGGCACCGCATTGCCAACTAGTTACATCAAGTTGATGAATCTAGGATTCCTTGAAATTGTTCCTATAAAGTTGGTTAATTCCAACACTGTCTTACCAGTTGGTCCCGCTGCTTGTCCTTTATCAAATGTCACCTCCTTTCTTTCTTCCAAATTTCTTGCGTGAATATCCTTACATGTTGTTTTTCCTCAGACTTTTTTCGGCTCCAATATTCCTAGATTTATGTAACAGTAAGGAAATAAGAAATTTCTTTTATATAAGTAATAAATCTTACAATGCTTAAGACATACCTTCTGTACTACAATCAATGCCAATTTCCTCGTCTATAGCACACTCATCCCCGCCGATTTCTTCTTGATCCACAAGATCATCAGCTACTGTGGTTATCATTTTTTATTTCATCACCTATGTGCATCACTTATTTTTTTAAAACTGATCAAGACTAGTAGTTGGTATGACCGACTTCCTCTTTACCTGCTTGCAGTTTGGTAGATCATTAATATCATGTTCTTTCTGTAGCTCTTGTTCTTCCAGAAACTGATCAAGACTTGTGGCTGGTAGGACAGACTTCCTCTTCACCTGTTTGGAGTTTACTTCACCTGTTTGGAGTTTAGTAGATCTTGAATATCATGTTGTTCCTCTGCATTACCAAGTGTTTCCCCAGTCACATGTACTGAAGCAGTAACACCTTTCTTGGAAGACGTTTGGAACCTAAAGTTGTGCATAGGAAGTTTAATTCCATTCTCTTGAATGGACTCTCCAGATTGAAATAAGCTCTTTTTATTTTGTCCTTTCCCAACAACCATATGTGAAGTACGAAGCTCTTCCCTTCAAGACGATTGAATTACTGATTTGTACTCAAGCAATTTACTCCTTCCTTGTTGTGGAATGAAATCCTCATAATTCTTTCTTTTTATGCGCTATTGGTGCATGCTCTTTCTTAGATTTATCATTGCGTTCGTTAGCAAGTTGTTCTCTCTTAATCTTGAATTTGTTAGCCAATTCAGTACTTGATCAGTATTGCATATCAAAGTTCAGATTCTTTAATGGACTTTGAGCTTTGTTCGGATTCAAACCCTTTTTCTTTAGTGCTGCTGATTGACTCACTGTTCCCGCTTTCTTTTAATCTGTTTATTTTCTTTCCGTACAGTAAGATAACCTACAAAACAATAATTAGGTGATTGTTAAATAGAAAAAGCAGACCTGCAAAGAGAAGAGGTTCTAGCCTCATAATCATATACGTTCTAGGATTATTAGATAGAAAAAGCTACAGAAATCTAACTTCGAAAGATTTAAATGTGTTGCCTTCACTGTGCTAATGAGAACAAGTAGTGAACTAATCATTAGCTTCCAGAAAGAAAAGGGAGTACTACATACAGAGGACTGATTTCACTGTGCTGTCTTCACTGTACTACCTTCACTGTGCTGCCTGTAATGTTCAATGCCTGATAATGATAGGAAAAAATAAGTATTTAGATAACAACAACAATTCACATTTACTGATCAGAAAGTAATTTGATAATTGTAACATGAATACTCCAGATATTACTAACCTTAGTCATACAAGTTTGTGCCAACAAACAGTCAAATAAAATAATAGTAAGCTAGAATTACAGGTTCATCAACAAAACAATAATTACATAAATTAAAGAAGCCAACATAAATTACTGACCAAACAACAATCAGGTGCATAAACGAAGTCAACAGAATACTTAGATATCTTAAGGTGTTTGTACAAAAATAGTTAAATAACAAAAAGAGTTAGTTAGCACTATATGGTCATCACAAAAATAATAAAACTCATGGCGTGTCATCTTCAAACTCGTCTTCAGACTCATCGTCCGACTCATCTTCAGAATCATCTTCATACTCATTTTCAGACCCATCTTCACACTTTTCTTCATACTCATCTTCAAATTCTTCTTCAGACTCATCTTCAAACTCCTTTTCATACTCGACCTCAAGTTGTTGAGTAACAAATTCCTCTGAAGGCACATCAATAATAGTTTCTCGTACATCAGTCCTTACTACGGGAACTTCACCATCATCTTCTGGTATGGATGTTCCCATCAAGTGTTTAGACAACTCATTTTCATAACTTTGTGGGAGATCAGATTCAAATTCATCACTCATGTTAAAGAAGTCTATCGCAACAGTCTTCATAACATAATGTCTATCTTGATCATATGGATCTTGCACATAGAAGCATTGATGTACTTGAGATGCAAGCACAAAATGGTCTTTCTAAGAGCATCTCTTGTTAAAATAGACATAAGTAAGGCCATAAATATCTTTTTCAACCTCATACCAATCGCACTTAAACAGAACAACCTTAAAATGACTATAATAGTCTAACTCAATTTTATCAACTATTCTATCATAACAAGTCAAATCTGCAGCAATCGGGTTCTTATCCTTTGAGCTTGCAAAGCTCGTAGGTGAGGCAACAAGTGTAACACCACTATTTTGTGTTTTACGCCTTGCATCACGCTACCTAATATGGAATCTATATCCATTAATGAGATACCCAAAGTATCTTTTAGCAAGAGATTTTGGTCCTCTAGACAATTGTTTTATCAAATCAGGCACATCCTCTTGCAAAGCACGAGTTTCAAACCATTGAGAGAAGTTTTGACAATGATCCTTGGCCTTGCTCCATTTAGATCTTCGTGAATGATTATTAACCTCTTGCTCATGCTCTCTACACAACATGTACTTTTTTGGTAAAACGATAAACAAAATAAGTTAAAAATTAATTATACAAAAGTAAATACTATATTAAATAAAGTACCTAATATATTCTTGAATCTCATCACAATTTCCCAATAAGTATGCATGTGCCTTACTTAGTGTCTTGTTATCTAAAATAAATGGATCAATTTTCTTTGCTCCTAAAGGACATCCCTTTCTAGGAAACAAACTCACTGTTTCTACATCATTTGAGTCACATTCATCATTATTTCGGGCTCTTCTGTTAAATCTGGTTTGTACAGCCCCATGCAGATATCTAGAAAATAAATTCATACAGTCTATTCCCACACATGCCTCTGCTATGCAACCTTCTGGATAACGTCTGTTGCGGATATATGATTTGAATGTACCTATTTATCTTTCAGTGGAATACATCCATCGGTTCTGAACTGGACCACCTAATCTCACTTCATTCGCCAAATGAATAGGAAAATGAATCATTATATAAAAAAATGACGGAGGATAAATTCGCTTCAACTGATTTATTATTTCTCTGATCTCTACTTCTAAGCAATCTAGTTCCTCCAATGTGATAACTTTTTGACACAAACGTTGGAAGAAGGAACATAGACAAATCAAAGCAATAGCCACATGATCTGGAAGGACGCTTTTAATTGGTATTGGAAGCAAGTAATGTAACATGAAATGAGCATCATGGGTCTTATAACCAGACAATTTTCTTTCATCCAGTTTCACACACCTAGATATATTGGAGGCACAGTCATCAGGTAGCTTGGCTGTCTTTAAAACTCCACAAAAAACTGATTTCTCTCCATTTGCCATTGAGAGGCAAGCTTTTGCAAGCTTTGTTCTTTTATTATCTCCAGTATCTTTTGGATGAAGATTCTTTCTAATTCTCATCTCTTTCAAATCATACCGGGCTTTTGCATGATCCTTTGTTTTGCTTAGAATATCCAAAAGAGTTCCAAGTATGCTATCAACTATGTTTTTCTCTATGTGCATTACATCAATGTTGTGGCATAACAAGTTGTGCTGCCAATAAGGTAATTCACAAAAGATTGACCTTTTTTTCAATGGGCCATCATTTGATCTCTTTCTCTTCTTTCCAAACACCTTTTCAAAATCTTGTAAGCTATTAAGCACATCAGTTCCTTTTATTAAAGGTGGAGGAGGACTGCATTCAGTTTTTCCATTGAGAGATCGTTTGTTAGATCTCCATGGATGATACATGGGTAGAAAAACACGATGATCCATATAACACATTTTCTGACTATGCTTAAGATAGTGAGAATTAGTGTTATAGTTACAATAAGGGCAAGCAAGCTTTCCTTTTATACTCCATCCAGACAACATAGCATATGCAGGAAAGTCATTGATTGTCCACATAAGAGCTGCTCGCATTTGAAAAGTTTGATTTCTTGAAGCATCATATGTTTCAACCCCAGTATCCCACAACAATTTTAACTCATCTATCAATGGTTGTAAGTAAATATCAATGTCATATCCAGGTGATCGTGGCCCAACTATAAGTAAAGAAAGTATAGAATATTCAGACTTCATGCACATCCAAGGCGGCAAATTATACGCCATCAACATAACTGGCCATGTGCTATGAGATATACTCATGGCTCGAAATGGATTGAACCCATCACTTGCTAATCCAAGTCTCACATTACGAGAATCTAGTGCGAAATCTGGATGCAACCTATCAAAATCTTTCCATGCTTGACCATCAGCAGGATGCCTTAACTTTCCATCTTTAGAACGTTCCTTGTCATGCCACCTTAAAGAATCTGTCGTCTTTGAGCACATAACCTTTTGAGTCTAGAAATTAATGGAAAGTGTCTCAAAGTCTTTGCTGAAACTCGATGTGATTTTTTTAGAAGGCTCAACCTCACTATCAACTTTAGGATTTTTAATATATACGTGAAGCTCCGCAAGTATGACAAATTCATCATCCTTATGATCATTCCTAAACAACATGCAATCATTTGGACATGCATCAATTTTCTCATAATCAAGACCGAGATTCTTAACCATACACTTCGTTTTATTGTAAGACGGAGGAATGTTCAACTTGGGCATCGCCTATTTTAATAACTCTAAAAGAGAAGTGAATGATTCATTGCTCCATCCATGTAGACACTTCAACAAATATAAACGAAGTGTGAATGATAATTTAGAGAATCCTGGACAACCAGGATATAATTCTGGGCTTGCCTCTTTGACTAAGTTATAGTATTTCTTGACATCTTCATTTGGACCATCATAAACTTCTTTGGCCTGTGCAACATCTCTAAATTGATCATTCAACAACCCATCAATATCATCACGCGAGTAATCCATATCATCGTCAACATTCAACTTGATATCCCATTACCCTTGATTGATCCATCTAGTATAACCTTTAACAAATCCATAGCATATTAGATGATCATACACTACATTCCTTCAAGTTCAACGAATATTACAACATTTTGCACATGGACACTGAATTTCCTCTCCTTGAGGATCTCCATAAGAGTAAGCAAAATCTAGGAATGATTCAACACAATCAATATACGGTTTGCTATACCTTGCTAAATCCATCCAATCCTTGGATGACATATTTGAATTCCTAGAAGAAGATATCAATATTTAATCTTACAGTAACAATCATTAAATCATTAACTACTTCACAAATAAGTTTTAAAAGTCATGTGTAAATTATTAATCAGGTGTTACGAGATGATAAAAGTTTCTTACCTAGTCATAGCGCTTGTGCTACGCCAAATCAAACCTAGAATCTTCCACAAATGTTTCTTAATGTTGATTATACTTCTAAGGAAATATAAGTAAAATTAATAGGATAGACACAATTAAGAAAGAATAAAATTAATAGGATAGAAACAATTAAATGAACTAATCAAGATTAAGAATTCTATCGAGAAGCAGGTTCAAGTTGTAAGAAACATTTTAAAGAAGTTCAAACACTTTATTTAGAAAACCAAAAGTACAATTTGTGTGAAAATATTTTTGAGCTTTTGAAAACTGTCCAAAATTTTAAAATCTCATTCTTGTGCACACCTAATTAGAGAAGTATCAAACATCTACTACCATGTTGAAACATTCATGCAAACATTACAATGATCCTATAATAGATAGTCTATTACACCAAAAAACTTAAAGTTTCATAGAGTTTATTCATTCTAACTTATCCCTGACTTGAAGCAAGATTAGCTATAATCTTGGATCCTAAAGGGTGAAATATTACTTGTAGAAGGACTGTGAATAAGAAGAAGTTGTGAAATTTTTCAAGACTCTAGAAGTGTTCAAGGCTTAACAGAACCCTGTGATAACGTTTACTGGAAACCTGATTTTAAAAAGAGTTCATTAATTTTACTTCAAGTGTTATGTAGCCTTCCAAGTTCTAAAATTAGGAAGAAAACAATTAACACGATCTAAAGCAGGCAAGTTGAACTAGATTTTAAGGCTAAAGTTGACTGCATTTTACAGAAGGAAAAACATGCCTCCTGCCAGGACTCACCCTATAATCTGAACCTGCCAGGACTCACCCTATAATCTGAACCTGCCAGGACTCACCCTATAATCTGAACCTGCCAGGACTCACCCTATAATCTGAACCTGCCAGGACTCACCCTATAATCTGAACCTGCCAGGACTCACCCTATAATCTGAACCTGCCAGGACTCACCCTATAATCTGAACCTGCCAGGACTCACCCTATAATCTGAACCTGCCAGGACTACCAGATCACTCAGCATCCTTCATAAAAAATTCTATAATCTGAACCTATGCACCTCCCTTATTCAGAAACATACCAGTCATATTCAACCATTTTGCATCAGTGTTTTGCCTCTTGACACAAGCAGTCAGACTATGTCCAATAGCAGAACAAAGTTCTGCTTCCTGAACCCTTTCTTATTCATTTCTTTTGTGTTCTGGTTTGTATAGAAGTTTGTTTCTTTGGTATATTGAGTTACAATATTTGGTTGGATTTTTTTAGTCTTGTTAGAAATTTACAATAAGATAGAAAATGTACATTACTTGTTGTACTTGAGAAGCTTAAGTGGAGTGACTTGAATAGTAAGGATTCATATACTCGAATTCTGGCTCAACTGAACCAATTTCTATTTCAGATTCTAATTCTTGCTCTTCAGGCAGTGTGAAAAAGGAATAGTTTTATTCTCATAATCACTCATTTCACAACAGTTTTTGCACAAATGATTCATTTGTTCCAAGCAACCTCAAGTCATTTACCTACAATGAACTGAAAAATGCAACTAGGAACTTCCGAGCTGATAGTCTTCTTGGCGAAGGAGGTTTTGGTTACGTCTTTAAAGGATTGATAGCAAATTGTAGATTTGCAGATTACAGATTTGTAAATTTGCAGATTGCAGATTTCCAGATTTGTAAATTTGCAGATTTATAGCAGATTGCAGTAGCTATATCCAACTCGAAGTCCACCTCAGGCCAAAGAACAGGGGAATCAAGAGAATTATCCAAAGATACTCTAATGCAGACATGTAAATCAAGATAGCTGGCGCACCAAACAAAGCGTGGAAAAAGTAGAAACTCAACTCCAACAACACCAAGACACTCTACTGCAGACAGGTAAGTCTCATAACTATGCTTCTAGTCAAGTTGGTAACACTAATTCTGAAACTCAGGTTGTAACATCTCAGTATACTTACCAGTATACTTATTCACTCAAAACATCTCCCATATAAAACAATGATACTTGAATCTAATTCAACACCAAAAACTAATATCATGAGAAACTCAAGTTTATATAAGTAGACCATCAGTCAAAGTATTTTATGAAATTCAGCAATTATAGTTTAATAAGCTTATTCCAAACCAAAGAATATATTTTGTACATAAAACCACTTTTTAATTCGTTAATCTTGAGTTAATTTGGAATGTAGGAATAACCAAATCAATATTGACATGGGAAAAAAGATTCATAATAGCCATTGGAATTGCAGAAGCTTTGAATTACCTACAAAATGAATGTCGAAGGCCTGTTATTCACAGAGATGTCAAATCATCAAACATTCTTCTCAATGATGATTTTGAACCACATGTGTGCTTTTTAATCTAACAGATAAATCTGTGATTATTTTACGATTGGTTTGGTTACATACATATATTTTATATTATCAGTAGGTAATTAGTACACCAGAAGTATCCTTAAAACTTGTGATCTTAAGCATATCCGAACAATTGTATAGCTATAAGAACATGTTAGTAAGGATAAGATACGAAAAATGTTGTGTCCTTACCCAATAGGCAGCAGTAAAACCAGCTACATCAGAAATCGTGTTCTTCGTTACTTTCTTCCCATACTTTGGAATTTTAGTTGTAACTCGTGATTTGTTCCATTCCAACAAACCCAAAGTAATCAATTCCTTCTAAACACAAAACAAAAATTAGTAGAGAATAGGAAGGAATCTCGGCTGCTTAATATGGACTCATAAAATCTAATGGTGTTCATGACATACAGAGAGAACAAATCTAAAACCCCAACAGAACTTAAATCAAAGAAAATGGACTCATAAAATTGACCAATTTTTCCCACCATGTACTTCAACAATCAGACATTGTAGGTAATTCAATATGCAAATACATTTCAATGCATTAAGGACTAAACAGAATGGTGAAGAAGAGACCTTGGCTTTTGGAACGACCTTAACAACAACTTTCTGACCCTTAAGTTCACCTTTCTTGACAATTGTAGAACAAGTATACCCAAAATGGCCTCTACCCACTTCCTCCCCAATTTCATACTTACTCACAAATTGCTTAGAAAATCCAAAACTCTTATCCAAGTTAACCCCCTCAGTTTCCTCTCCTTCAGGAATACATGCAGCATTAGGCTTAACACTACTATGCCGTCTCAACAGCAAAGCTTTAATATGCTTCGCTGGAGAAGGAGGAGGAAAAGGGCGTTTAAACAACCTCGCTGGATTAGAGGTAATTTTTATCTTCATTATCTTTTTGGGTTTCAACGACATTTGGTGTTTCCAGTGGGGGAAGAATTTCTTGTAGGGAATAAAGATTGGGTCTCAGAGGTTTTGAGGTACAAGCACCCATGGTGATTATTACAACAAAACCTTACACATACAAGTGTGAAAACATAGTTATAAATTCAAGAACAAAGAATCAAGAATCGGGTACTTACGCTTGACAAAATCCGGTATCGGAGAAATCGTGGTCACTTCATCTCTTCAGTTCTTAGCTTCAACTCTCTAGTTCTTAGCTTTAGCTCGCTCTTCAGTTCTCCAGAAAAAAGTGTGTCGGTTCTTTAGAAAAAGAGAAAAGTGTGTTGTTTTTCTGATTAATGTTTTATGAATTATTTTTTTTGGCCAATACAAATGGGAGGAAGAGTTAAAAATGTTAGAGGGAATATAATATTTTAGTGAAAATTTTAAGGACACACTTGTAAGGTGTTGTTTCTACAATTATTAAAATAGGACATTTTAAAAGTGTGGCCATATATGTAAATAGTTGTTGCCAATTATATCATAATGTAAGAACGCTTATAAAATGTAGCCTATACCATAAAAGAGTACGCTTTACAAGTGTTGCCAATATTATCGAAGCCAAAAGTTAAAAACTTGGGCTACACTGTAAAAGCGTTCCCAAAAGTATTTTAGGCAACACTTTACAAGCGTTGTCCAGATATAGTGTTGCCGTAGGCCTAAAATGTTGTAGTGTGGGCTATCCCCTTTTGCCAAAATTCTGGAAAAAAGGGCGAGATAGGTCATGGGTCACCAATTGGGTTGGCAATTCACCCATTGACCGTCCCCATCACCTAGTGAGATGCGCATTTAGGGATCTTACTTGAATTTTGGGTGACCCAATGGCTCATTAGGAGAGTCGCCTAGTGACCTTGGTGACCCAAGGGTGCCAAAGGGTGAGCTCAAATTCCCCAAATCTAGGGTTTTCAAATTCCCCAAATCTAGGGTTTTCAAATCTAGTCATGGGTCTCCTTCCAAAACGAATTCAATTGTTTAATTATGATTTATTATGATTGTTTAAGATGATTTATGGTTGGATTCATGGAGTATTGATGGATTATGATAAAAATCTCCCTTTGACCCATGATATCCCCTTCTTCCCAAATTGTGAACTAGGGTATGACTTGATTGATGATGAAAGCTTGACAATGGATTATGTTTACATTGAATTATGTTTGTTATTGATGACACTACTGATTTTAGATGATTCTAACTTGAACTCCAAGGAATCCATGAGTTTTCCCCAAACCTAGCTATGGTTCTTCCCTACTCAATGTATATTGTTAGAAGCTAATTCAATTGATTGAATGTTAGTTGATTATG